GATTGCGCTGATCAATTCCATCATCATGCGCTGATTAGCGTGGTGTTGTTCGGCACGAATGGCAGCTTGTTCGCGATCAAACTCTAATCTTGCTGCTGATTGCTCAGTAATGAGCTCTTCTCGGCGGCACTTGTCATCAATTCCTGCTTGAATTGCATGAATGAGGTTGTTCATGTCGATCGATAGTGCAGTAGCTTTAGGTTTCTTCCGTTTGTGTGCCAGCCTCTTCTTGGCTGTTGCGTTCAAGCTCTCCCAACGCCATTTTCCGCAACAACGTACCCGAGTTTTCGCTCCCTTCCAGTTTTCGTCGGCATGCATCTTTTCGAATTGTTTCAGAGGCCTTGAAGTCGTCCATACGCGTCTTGATATCCTGCAGCAATTGCTCTCGCTCCTTGTACTCTTCTGCTGTACCCGACTTCCGCAACGACGCGCTTTCACCGCGCACAAACCGAGACATGAGAACGTCAAACCTTGCCTTCATCGCGGGGCCCTTTTTCTTTAGACCAAAAGTTACAGACTGTCCAAGCGCATCAGCGATGGCGGACCAAGCCTGCAACTGCTTGCCGTGGTCGGCCTCACAGGGACTCGCGAAAGCGATCTGCAACAGTAGCTTGATGTCATGATGGCATGCGAATTTGCGGTTCCCACTGGTCTCGTCAGGATGGAGCTCCGCAATGTCTGGAGTGCAGATGGGTGGTGTTGACATGACTTTGCCAACTGAATGGCTGTGTGTGCTGGTGTGATATCCGTACGATAGTCTGGTTCTTGAATCTAAACCTTGAGTTCCAAACCTTGAGATTGGGGCCACCAATCTCAGTCGACTCATAGATTGGGACAAAGGTGGAGAATGGATTTGTAGAGAATTACCGTGAAATATTCAATTTAATAGGCAAAATCCAATGTAATGACGAAATTTTGGTGTACAGAAAACTCTGTATTAAGCTCCAAAATTGATTTCACGAAAGCTGATTGGAGTATGCGCTGTATAATATTTCAGGGTGCTGAAACCGTATATTTTGAAAATACAAATTTCAAATGAACTTGGAAGCATCACGCCAACTGATCCGTACACGTCAAAAATCGCAGGGACAACCAAAATTCGTTGAACTTACACAGGCTGATGCAGACGAGGATCTTGCGGCAGTGGTCTTGCCAAGCTAGCGCTGCTTGTTTCAGGCCGTACAGCGCTTTCATGAGCAGCATCATGCGCTTGGTGCCGTCGGCGTAACCGGGTGGTTGGTCGACGTAGAGCATAATGCCATTGTCCATGGAGGCTTGAACGAAGGCCGTGTCGGCGTCAGCTTGAACGATGACGAACCCCTTTGCGACTACGAATGCGGCGCACGTGCGAACAGTTGCCATCTTCACGACAGGGGAGTACGTGTTTGAATAGTCGATCCCTTCTACTTGACTGTAGCCCTTGCACACGAAACGAGCCTTGTAGCGAATTACGACGCCGTCGGAGTTGGTATTCTTGGCGTATGTCCATCGCGACCCGACTGCCTTTCGTCCTGGTGGTAGAGACACGAGTTTCCACGTCCCGACGTCGTTGAGCTGCTTGAGCTCAAGTTGCTCGGCCTTGGTCCACTCGTCCCGTTGCGCGACGCCATGGCCTCTCTGTGGCTGTTGGGTACGTCATCTGCTATCGGCAAGGCCAAGCAAGCGAACTCAACTCCATCCACCGTCATCGACATCGAAACATGGTCTTCCTCATTCGCGGCGTTGGCATCGCCGCGGGTTGCTCGGTTCAGGTCGCGCAGGACACGGTCAACGGGGTCGTTCCCTTGACTGTTCGTGGGTACTTCATCCACATACTGTATATGGACGGAGTCCTCATGGTCGTTCTGTCGCGCAGGACCATTCCTCGACTTTCGCTCGCTGGCGCAGCGGAGGGCACGTACATACGCGTCGGTCTCCCTGGTGTGCCGATCTCCGATGAGTCGATGTTGAACCCTTTGTAGAGAGTACTGGCGTCGCCGGTGAACGTTTTCGTGTGGGACCTTGAAGTGGCTTCGGGGCTTGGTGGCGGTGGTTGATTGGTGGCGTGGCGCTGTCATGGGGGTAGTGGTGAGTCTTGGCTGGTATGTCTCCCCTTGGATAAGGAGTTTCTTCATCTTCGTCGTCATCATCGGTCGTGATTAGGTACTCATCAATGGGTGTTCGTCCCCCGATGTACTCGTCCTCGCGGAACTGGACGTGGACGCTGGTGATAATCTTCTGGTGCTCCAGGTCGTATAGTTTGTACGCCTTCTGGTGTTCAGCGTATCCCATCATCACACACTTCGTTGCTTTGGGTGCGAGTTTGTCCCTCGTTTCAGGCTCCTTCATGAGATTGTAAGCCACGCATCCGAAGACCCGCAACTTGTCCAAACGCGCTGGGTGACCGATGAACGTTTGGATGGGGGTACTGGTGGCGCTGGGACCGTGCGGCACTCTGTTTTGATGAAGACAGCCGTGTTTACGGCCTCCGCTCACCACCGTTTGGCCATTCCGGCGTGGGACAACATGGCCATGGCCATTTCCATAATCGACCGGTGAGCGCGCTCTGCCATCCCGTTTTGCCACTGATTCGTTGCTGTAGACGTCTCATGCGTGATGCCCCACTTGGCCGTGCATCGGCGAACGTGGTGGATGAGTACTCGGGGCCGCCGTCGGAGCGGAACACTTCGACGTTGCGGCCGGTCTGTGCCTTGGACCATGCCATGATCTTCGCATAGTTGTCGTGTTGGGTGGCGCTGTCAGTGGAATTGACGAAACGTACGATTTTCATGCCCGAACCGGCGTCGACGTACACTGTGTAATACTTGCACCCGCCGACTGACGCCCCTTGGTGTCCGACACCCAGCATTCGCCAGGCTTGAACGATCGCGTGTGCGTCTTTGGAGGTGAGATCTTTGTGATCTTGTTCTTGACGCAGCACTCACATTTCTTCATCGGCTCGTGTAAGTTGCCCGGCGTGCCATGATGCTGCAGCCATTGGCCTTGAGTTGACGGCGAATTTCGGGTCCTTGCGCATTATGGCTGTCACGGACAAGTGGGTGGACGGCATATTGTCGACAACTAACACGTTTTCTATGACAAGCGTTGCCCCTTTGTCGGTGGTGATCCACATTGTTCCTATCTTGGTCGCGCGTGTTCTCGCCCCGTTGGCGACGACAACCGCTCGGTCGCACATTTCCAAGTTTGTCAGCCGGGTGGCATCCCCCGTCATGTGGTCGATGCCCCGGAGTCCACCAGTACACGGCCACGGGTGTCGAAAGCGTGGAAAACGACGGCGTCCACGACGTCCACACGTCTTCGTCTAAAGAATAGTTCCCCGTCTCGATTTGTTTCTTATCCTTCTTAAGCGCAGGTTCCTGCTTTGTCCATCTGGGTTTTCCTGCCGCTATGACTCGGCATTCGGCCTCCCAGTGGCCCTTGCGCTTGCACCAGTTGCACTTGCCTGGCCTAACTTCGACGTTAAGTGCCCGGTCGTCGTTGTTGGGGCTCTTGGGGTTCGTCAGGGCGCCCGATCGAAGGGCTTGTACTCGGCCTCCAGTACAATACGAACGGTGGTGAGGTTGTTTCTCTGAGTCCGCGGCATTGAGTGCACTTGGTGAGTCTCAGCGCGCATCTGCCACGGCATCATGTCCAGCAGACGGTCGACGACCATGGAGTAGTGCACGGCATCCCCGCTTGCGCGAAGCTTACGAAGAACGATCTCGTATCTTTCCAGAAACGGTAAACTCTCTTGTTTGGTGTTCCACTTCATGTTGAAGTACTTGGATAGGGTGACGAGCCGGTCGACGCGTGTCTTTGGCGCATGGAGTTCGGCCAGCGCACACCATGCATCCACGTAGGTGTCCTTGTCGGCGACAAACCGCTGTTGCGAGTCGGAGCAACAGGTGATCAGTATCCCGAGCGCGTACCCGTCCTGTTCTTCCGTATGCGTAGGTAAATCCCGCATGTATTGCGCGCTTGTAGCTTGCTCGAGGTCATCGTTGGCGGTTTCGAGGTCTTGCCTTGCCGCGAGTCGATCTCCGGCGTCATACACGGCTTTGAGCTTCTTGCTCAACAAGCGTCCCTTGAACGCGGTACGCCAGGAGTTCTAGTTGTCTTCTGTTATCATCCGAAGTGTTGACGTCTTGTCGTCGCTCATGTCACTTGGGCTCATAACTTGTTGAAGCGAGGAAGAGCGAGCTGATGGCTGCAAGGCCATTGGAGACGATTCAAGAGTGAATTACTGTTCGTTATAAACCTCCGACCTCTGTGGATATGAATGGCTGTGGTAGCTCCTATATGAACATGCAGATTGTTGATCAACGACCAACATTCTCAACAGCAGCCTACAACCATGGGCGAAATGACAAAGCAGAACGTACCCATAGCACATTGAAGGAATTGAAGCATGCCATGAGCCCACACATGCGCCATCATAGCCTCTGACAGCTGTCAACATAACCGTTTCAAAGAACTTAATTGCAACCAAGATAAAGTCTGAAGCACTTACGTGCTTACGTTCCGCCTTTAAAGCATTGAGCAACCATCCTGTTGCGGCCTCCTAAAAGACTTATGCCCTGACCTCGACGTTACGCACGCCGAACCAAATCCAATTCCAAGTGCTTCGCGATTGCGGACGAATCTGGCACTTTGGACGCTGCCCAAGAATGTTACCATGATTTAACACGATGATGAATACAAATTAGATACGGCGGCGTACCGACTTAACGAGGTTGCCTTTACCTATGTTGACGTCCCAATCACAGGATTTGAAGGAATGGAGCGTCAAGGTGAAGAGGCGAATGTCGAGTCGAATTGGCTCCAGTGACAAGTAGTAAGGTGCCTTCGTACCCGTTATAGCCGGATCGGGATAAG